AACACAGGACTTATCAATGGTTAGACCAAAAAATATGGAAGTCAAATATACCAGACAATTTTAAAAAGATGCATTACTACTGGATGGATTTAGGAAGATGTAATGAAATGCCATAATATAAATTTATTCAAAATTTAGAATATCTCACATAGGTGACAAGATTCTTGTGTATTATGCTTGAACTATTTCGGCACTACATAAATCTTCTCCACCCAACGTTACAATGGCACCGAAAAGAATGACCTATGACTGTTTTTCCGCACTTATGACCATGACCTCATGGTCATGATCAAAATTCAGATGTTTGCCCCCCTGGTTCATATTTATGACCGTTGCTGTATCCTGGGGTCACGTGATCCTTTTTTGCGACCTTCTGACAAGCAAAGTCAATGGGGAAGCCAGACTCACTTTGTGAACGGTGTTACCCACTTAACAACTGCAGTGATTCTCATAACAACCCTTGCAAGGAAGGTCCTAAAATGGAGCAAAAATCAGTTAACAACTGTCTTGCTTAGCAACAGAAATTTTGGGCTCTGTTATGGTGGTAAGTCAAGGACTCCCTGTACTTACTTATCTAAACTTTGCTGCATTTCAAGCATCAATGCCAAAATCTCACAACATTTCAGACCAGGGTGCCAAAACTCATAGACTTTTAGCCAATTAATTAATTATGTTATTCTTATTCTTATTATTACTGTCATCTGTGCCAGGTATCTTTATTTATTGCCTATGCCTGTTCTACTCAGCAAAAATACAAATTTTAATTTTCATTGTTGGAGTTATTGGTCAGACAATCAGTCATTTTCGGCTTGGTGAACTGTCTGCTGTTAGATCTGGGCCATAAGCCACTATAACGGAAAAATGGCAGATTTTTATAAAACAATAGCAATCGAACTTACTTATATACCACAGTGCTTTACAGCCCTCTCTAAGAGGTTTACAAAGTCAGCCTATTGCCCCCAGCAATCTAGGCCCTCATTTTACCCACATTGGAAAGATGGAAGGCTGAGTAAATATGGAGCCAGTCAGGATCAAACTCCTGGCAGTGGGCAGAGTTAATCTGCAATTGCAATAGCACTTAAGACTTATATGCTGCTTCATAGAGCTTTACAGCCCTCTCTAAGCAGTTTACAGAGTCAGCCTGTTGCCCCCAACCATCTGGGTCCTCATTTTGCCCACCTCAGAAGGATGGAAGGCTGAGTCAACCTTGAACCTGGTGAGGTTCGAACTGCCAAATTGCAGGCAGTCAGCAGTCAGCAGAAGCAGCCTGCAGTACCGCATTCTAACCACTGCACCACCAGAGACTGTTCTGCTTCTGCTTCCGTGCTCAAACCCTTAACGTTAATATCACAGAAACAATTTTAACATTAAAGTTGTTTCTGTGATCTGTATCACAGCTCTTAATCTTAAACATAACCAAGGAGGTATTTCTGCAGAGTACTAACACATGTGTCAGATTTCCCAGCAGATCTGCGCAAAGATTCAGCCTTCACCCCCTGACCTTTGAAGCTGGGGAATCATTTGAGATCAGCCTTGACTAATGTAGATCAGAAGACATCCAGGAACTAGAATTCTGTATCTTTTACAGATCAAACGCGGCAAACCAATCTCATGCTTTGTCTGTTTCTAACTTTCATTGGCAAGCTCGATTTAGTAGCCCCGCTCCAGTTATTCCATATTCAACTGCAGATTATCACATTTATTAAAATGTTGCACAGGTGCTTTTTTCAAGAGGCAACTGGACTTTCTGGTTTTTTCTTTGAAGACGTTTTGCTTCTCATCCAAGAAGCTTCTGCAGCTCTGACTGAATGGAGGGGAATAGAAAGATTTATATTCCATGCAGACAGCTGGTCATTTTCATCCTTTTAGAGGATCCTTGAAGCACTGGGAAGTTTCTCTGTATCCTCAGGGTCACCGGAGTAATACTAATGGTTCCTGTAGTCTGCATTTTTTTTCTGGAAATCTGTTCATACCTCCACACCATTCAAAGGGTCTTCATCCCAAATCACACATCTAAGTCTGTAGGGATTCTCAGTCATCCAGGTCATGGTTGTCCCAAAGGTGTTTTTTTCCCCAGGAGACAACTGGACTTTCTTTTTTTTAGAATAAACATTGCATTTAGAATGCAATGTCTATTTAAAACAACAACAACAACAACCAGATTTTAAGACCAAAAAGTCTTGGAAAGGCCTCTTGGCATCAGAAGAGGAATGAACTTCATTTACCTTCCCGTATCCAAGAGATGAAAGGTGTGGGATTTGCTGACGCAACACATTCCATCACAACAGTGTCTCCAACCACCACTGTGGCATTCTCCGGTGCGGTGACAATGACTACATCATCCATCATTGGTTGTTGGGGACCTAGGGCTACAAAATTAGAGATTTACTTTCCCCCCCACTCCATTCCCCATACACATATTTCAATCAGAATGATTTCACCAAAGGGGGGGGGGGGAAGAATCCAGTGTTCAAGGTTTGCATGAGAATGAAGGTCTTAGATAAGTGTTGGAAGAAATGTCCTTCTGGGTTCAGTTCCAAGTGGGGAAAAAGACACTGGATTGATGGAAGTTACTTGGAAAGAAAGTTTATTGATGATGGACAGGATCACATGGTTTAAGGTCCTGGGAGAAAAAGGAGAGAGATGCTGAGAGTGCCTGGGTTTTATGCCTTCTCTGGGCTTTTGAATTTGAGCTTGTATTCTGATTGGTTGTCAGACTCCCATTTGTATTTGTATTGTATTTGTATTTATTACATTTCTATGCCACCCTATTCCCGGAGGGACTCAGGGCGGCTTACAAACCAAAGTAGGGAGGGGGAATACAAACAGGAGGGAAAGACAACGGAAAAACAACTACAAACAATTTAAAAGGCACTCAACAACCACACAATTCGAGCGGTGGCGGGGCACCCATCAGCCCCAGGCCTGTCGAAACACCCAGGTTTTAAGGGCTTTGCAGAAAGCATGAAGGGTGGTGAGGGTCCGAATCTCCACGGGGAGCTCGTTCCAGAGGGCTGGAGCAGCCATGCAGGGGCAACTCTGTAGGTTGTCCTGTGTCCCAAGCTTGGTTGACTCTTGCTGGGTGATGATGTAATGAAAGGGCTTTGGGATTCCTATTATGGCTCTACCTGAAGGAGGTAGATTTTTGTTATGTAGAATAGACTGGCTCAGGCCTTAATGGTCCATTTACAAAAGTGGGGGGAGTGAGTTTCTGCCTCCCTTTTAGGGAAAATATTCTGCACTTTTCAACATTTCCTTATAGTATTTACACCATGTACAAATGCTTCCTTCCATTGTGGAAGTTCTCTGACTTTCAACTTCGGGAACGAAGGGAGGAGAGGAAGGGGAAGGAAAGAAAAGAGGAAGGAGGAAGAGGTTAGGGAGAAATGAAAAGAATGGAAGGGAGTGGATGGGAGGAAGGAAAGAAGTTAGTTGAAAGAGGTTGTAAAAGAGAGGGAGAAAATAAGAAGGCGAGACGATCTCAACTGTTGTGAAATTATAAAAGGTAAAGGTTCGCCTCGCACAAATATGCTAGTCGTTCCTGACTCTAGAGGGCATTGCTCATCTCCGTTTCAAAGCCGAAGAGCCAACGCTGTCCCAAGATATCTCCGTAGTCATGTGGCCGGCATGACAAAACACTGAAGACGCACAAAGCACTGTTACCTTCCCACCAAAGTGGTTCCTATTTTTCTACTTGCATTTTTTAAATGTGCTTTTGAACTGCTAGGTTGGCAGAAGCTGGGATAAGTAACGGGAGCTCACTCTGTTATGCAGTGCTAGGGATTTGAACAGACGAATTGCCGATCTTTCTGATCGACAAGCTCAATGTCTTAGCCACTGAGCCTCTGAGTCACCATCTCCCCATTTTTTCACAGTTGAAATTTCACAGAGTTGGCTACACTTCTGGGAGTTCAGCCATGCTGAATTCAATTTGGACTCTGGTTGCTATGAAAATTTTTGTCCCCAGATGCTGTGTGTTCCATTCTTGGTCTTCTTTACTCAAAACATTTTCTCCAATTTCTGAATTTATATATAAAAAAAGCTTTGATTACTTTTAGCTCCTAACACTCAGCTAGAATTTCTTTCCTTCTCCTGTTCTCTCCTGTCCTCAATTCATTCGCCTTGAGAGTTTTTAGCCTAAACCTCCCAAGGTCAGGACAAGCTATTAAAGCAGGGGTCCTCAAACTACGGCCCATGGGCCAGATACGGCCCACTGAAGCCATTAATCCAGCCCACATGGGACCATGAGGCTGCCCTGCCTACATTTTCCCACCTATCCGCCGGCCCCCGCCTGTCTTCTGGAGGCCTCAGAGGCAAAAAACAGGATCCGCAGAAGCCTCAGGAGGCCAAAAATGGGAGGGAGAGAGGGAGGGAGGGAGGGAGGGAGGGAGAGAGAGAGAGAGAGAGAGAGATCCTCACCTTCCCCCCCCCCAAAGGCAGTCAAATCGTATTATTGACCTGCTTTCCACCCCCAGGAGCATAACTAATTTCTGTGTATTGATTAATTTCTGTGTATTGATTAATGGACTGCTAAATTAGCCACACCCACCCATTTACATGATCACCTAACCACGCCCACACAGTCGGTCTGCCCCCCCCCCCAACAGTCTGAGGGACCGTGAATTGGCCCCCTGTTTAAAAACTTTGAGGACTCCTGTATTAAAGTCACAGAAAAACTTGTGGCTCTCTGTTAAAAAAGAAAAAAAAAACAGGATTAATTTCTCTCCCTTTCTACCAACTAAGCCATTTTTTCCCTCCAACTCGCTTGATTTAAATGTGCATGAATAACTTTCAGGCTAGCATTTATTTTTTATATTTTTTGAGGTAAAGAAAGCACAAGTCTTACGAAGCGTACAAAAACAGTCCCTTGCTCTTAAAAGAGGAAAAACTAAACAAAGACTTTACTGGATTCCTTCCATTCGCACTCCAAATCCACAATTGTTTGCACATTTAATTCTCAGTTCCACCCTCCCACTAATTAAATTCCCTCCTCCACCAACCATTTTTCTACCGCTTAAGTTCCTAACGAAGTAGGTTCGTGCTTGCAAAATCCTTTCAAGATAAAATAGGGGATAAAATATAAAATACAAATCTGTGTTTGATTTATCTCGCCATAGTAGGCTGTCCTCGAGCCCATCAGCCTTTCTGGGTGTCCATAGGGAGTCAAAAAAAGTCAAAATGTGATCGAAGCCCCGTCTACTCTGCCCCTCTTGAACGGCTGTGCAAACCAGTAGCATTTGCAAAACATTTCACGTCAACTGCTAACTGCCTTCTCGCTTTCTGAACAACCAGGAAAGAAGAAGAAAAACTGCAGATGGATCTTTCCCCCATCTCTTCTCCTCTCCTGAACAGCTGCTCAAAGCCTGAATCCATCCATCCCCAGGGAGGTTGTGGGTTGCAGTGGAGGGGGGTGGGCTTCAACACAATGTCAAGCTTCTGTTCAGGAAAAGGATGAGAAAGTTCACAGCTAAGCACCAAGCCTACTTAGTTGTTTTCTCTGTTTTCTCTCTTCCTCTTGAGATGCTGAGAGCGAGAACCCAAGGGAGACCCAGCACTTTTAAAACAACTTTGACCCCCACTAGGGTTGCTGAGAGCCAATGTGAGTATTATGTATCACACACAGGGCTGTGATGCACTGCAGGGCATGGAATCTCAAACAAGGGCTGGTCCTTCCATGGATGTGGTCCTTCCATGTAGGGTTAGGTTAAAGCAATGATAGGATTCAAATAATTTAACAACTGGTTCTCTGCCCTAATGATTTCTTCCAACAAACAGTTCACCAAACGGCTCAGAAACTTAATAACCAGTTCTCCCACAGTGGTGTGAACTGGCTGAATCCCACCACTGGGTTAAAGAGATAATACCTTCTTCTGTATCAGGAGGAGTCTGGAAGCATCTGTTTTGACTCATGGTTTTTATTTCTGAATTAAATTTATAGCACTACAGCATTTAAGACTTAGGTACCACTTCATGGTGCTTTACAGCACTTCTGAATGCTATACAAAATGTCAGCATTTTGCCCCCCAGCAATCTGGGTCCCCATTTTACTGATCTTAGAAGGATAGAAGGTTGTGTCAAACTTGAGCTGGTCAGGATCGAACTGCTGGCAATGGTCAGAGTTTGCCGGCAATACTGCACTCTAACCACAGTTAGGGCTCGATTTGTGAGTTTTTGGGCTCAATCTCAAATTTCAAATTCAAATGACAGCTAGAAGAGACCTTGGAGGTGTTCTAATTCAACCCCCACTGTTCAAGTACGAACACATTCTCCATCAATATCAACAGGAATTGACCATGGTAGGGGTCAGCAGTCTGTGGCTCTGGAGCCGCATGTGGCTCTTTCATCCCTCTGCTGTGGCTCCCTGTTGCCGGTCAGCTCCACAATTGATAGGGCTTTCGGTTAGGACAGGTGGAGGAAAAAGGATGTCATGCTAGGAGGAGACTCTATGGTGGAGGAACCGGACTTCCTGTTAGCAGAGAAAAAAGATGACGCACTAGGAGGAAACTCTATGATGGGGGAACTGGACTTCCAGTCGGCTCCAGAATTGAATGGGGGGCTTCTGTTTAGGACCTTTGTTGCTCTTTGAGTGTTTAAAGTTGCTGAACCCTGGACCATGGAGAAGGACAAGCTGTCACAACACTCAAGATCTAGTGATTTTTTCTCTAGTTGTTTCAGAAAGACACCATAGCTGATTGCACTGAAAGCCACCGAGAGATCAAGTACAGCTATTACAGTAGCATCACTCCAGTCTTCTACCTTCACAAAAAGTCATCAACAAGTGTAATCAACTTTGCCTCATACCTTGTCCAGACTGAAAAGAGGCCAGATCAGAGGTGGTATTCAGCCAGTTCTAACCGGTTTTAGAGGACCGGTAGTGGAAATTTTGAGTAGTTTGAAGAACCAGTAAATATCACCTCTGGATGGCTCTGCCCCCATCTATTTGTTCCCTCCTGAGTCCCAGCTGATTGGCATCCCAGCTGATCGGCTGGGTCTTCTTCTGTTGCCCTGCCCAGGAGAAAGGAGCTGGAAAGCAGGTTAGTGGTTTTGGGAGGAAATGGGCATTTTGCAGTATCCTTCCCCCAGGAGTGGGGAGGGAATGGGGATTTTGCAGTATCCTTCCCTTACCACACCCACAGAACTGGTAGTAAACAAATTTGAATCCCATCACTGGCCTGATGCTTTGCTTTCGCCAAGGATCTCTGAAGCTGCAGCACAGCCAGCTTCTCACTAACCATCCCTAGAAACAGAAGGTTGGAAACTGGATGAAAACTGTCCTGAACTGATGGGTCCAGCAATGATCTTGTGAAGAAAATGAAGTCAGAGATCTTGGTAATACTACCTAGGCCAGCGGTCACCAACTGGTGGTCCA